ATATGTATATAAGGAACAATGGATATATGCCGAGACTATGGAAGAAGTGACTTTTATTAACGCCTATGAGAAAAAAAAACGATGTAAACATTCATGCAAAACAATAAACACTTCAAGCTTCTTGTTGTTTTTTGTTATACAAAAAACTAAGACAGAAACAAACAAAGAGAATAGAAGTTGCTTCGAGAAACACTGGGAGTGCACGAAAGGAGTGAGATCAGGTCTAGAAAAAAAAAAGGCACGGAGGGTGAATACGTGAAAAAAGAAAAAAGAGAAGGAGAGAGAGAGGGAGATGTTGAGCGTTACTGGAGGGTAACAAAGAAAAGGAATTCAAGGTGCGCCAAAAAAAAGGAAGACCAAAATAGTCTAACTTACACACAATTCACTGAGTCGCGATGCCGCAAAAAAAAAAAAACACAACAAAAACCGTTGTACTGGGCAGTAAATGATCGTGAAATCATCAGCTGCGCGAGTGTGCAACAGTTAAATTATAAAATAAAAAAGTGTATGCGAAACAGAAACTCTGAAGAAGAAAAAAATTCACTGCTGTGCGGACGACTAATGCGTCCTCGTTGAAGGCAAAAAGCACTGCCACCGTCACACACGCCATGACGATGGCTTGGTGAAGAAACACATTTAATGATTAAAAAAGGAAAGCTCAACACAAACGGGTGGAAATGAAGCGAAAGGAACACAAAAAGGGAAGAAAAACCAAACGCGCTATCACCGGACGCACAACTACAAGTTAAGAGTCCATCAATTGTAGTAATAATAATAATAATAATAATAATAATAAACAGAAACCAACTATTTAACCCTTTCGTGGAGGTGCAGAAAAGGCGACTGGCCGAGCGCGAAAACACCAAAAAAAGAAAAAAGAAAAATAGGAGCGTTGAACAAAGCTTAACGAGTAACTTTCTCTCTCCTGTTCGCTGAAGAATGATTTTAAAGGTCGAGCCAATGTCTCGTTACAACAGCAAAGAGAAGAAGAAAGGAGGGGGAGTATTCATACAAATGAAACAAACCCGAACAATAAAAGTCGTCTAACCAGTCATCTCTGCATGAGTACGCACGCGCGTGTGGTGAAGAGACAGTGAAGAAGAAAAAAAAGGAGGTGAGGTAACGCTAGCTTCGACTGTTCAAAGCAGTTCCGCGTTTAACGTTTATCCTCGATGCTTTCAAAGATTCTTTCTGCTTTCTTTTGCCCTCGCTCTCACCTCTCAGAAACCTCCGCACGGCCCTCTCAATATGAGTTTTACGTCCGTGCCCCTTAGAGCTTAGAAAGACATGCTAGGTGCAGGAGTCGTTTGCGAAACGGGGTTTTTTTTCTTCTGTGTTGCACTACAACAACCGAAAGGGAGAACAACAAAAAAGAGATTATATTTTTATAAGTATTCAATGAGAAAATGGTTACCGTGTTCAATGAAGCAAAAACTCTTGTTTTCATCGTGCAAGCGTCACAGAGAGAGAGCATGAAGGCAGACGTAGGGGGGGGGAGAAGAAGAAGAAGCGTGTAAACACACGAATCGAAGCTCCTTGTGTCTCCTGCATCAGCCGCTGAAGCTCTCCCCTTCACCGTGCATCTTCGCTGATATAGGAAACGATGCTAGCGCAGAACAATAGAATCACTTCAGAAGAAAAAAAAAAACAGTAAAAAGAAAAAAGGTGCTTCGTCTCTCTTGAGGAGGAGGGGGGGGGGTATAAAAGAAAAGAGAAAGTATAAACGGAAGAAAGGGAAAATGAACGGAAGCATAAGTTTGTCCATACACGAAGTTGGGTGTGAAGATGCAAGAATAACACTGGCTGCTGCTGTTGTCATCGATCGCGCTACTGTGAGTCCGCGGCATATCCCTTTTCCGCCTCCTCCTTCGCCTTCGCGGCGGCCGCTGCCTCCGCCTCCTTGCGCTCCTTGATCTCCTGCTCCGTCGGCAGCACGTGTAGAAAGCGGCACGACTCACCGAGGCGGCACATATCCTTCAGGCGGAAGTGTGCGCAGTGCTGCATGCGCTTGCGGGTGGGAATGTTGTTCATCTCCTGCTCGTACTGCTTCTGGTACGCCTTCGCACCCTCGGTGATGAGGACGTTGGTGCCTGGGTAGTCGTGCCAGGTGTCGAAGCTGTTCTGGTTGAAGACGCGCACCGTCATCTCCGCCGGCAGCCGCGGCACGTGCGCCATGGCCGCCGCGTTGTTGATGTGCGTCGCGTTGGCGCTGTTCTCCCGCACCGTCTCGAGGTCGTTGATGGCGCAGTGGATGTCCTCGCACTCTTCCCCCTTGCTGCACTCGGTGTGGTTAATGACGGACGGGCACAGCTTGAACTTCATCTTGAAGTTGTCGCCGTGGTCGTTGTACATGGTGACGTAGTCGGTGCTGCCTGCCGTGACGTACACCGACTCCGACGGCACCTTGTAGTAGCGCGTCAGCGTCGGGTCGTAGCAACGGACGTGGAAGCCGGCGGTGTACGCCTTCTTGCCGTCCTTCTCCACCTCCTGCGCGTCCACCTGCGGCCACGTGTACTCGAGACCGGCGATGTGCATCTTGTCGCACCCGCTGCCGTGGATGCAGCCGTGCGGGCTGAGGAAGTTCATGCACAGCATCAGCTTCGTTGACTTGGGGTCGAACTTCTGCACCGGCGCCGCCTCGACGTTGTCGTCCGACCGCTCGTTTCGCTCGCTGTCGTTAACGCTGGCGTCGTTGCTGTCGGTGTTGGCGATGGTGGTGGTGCTGTGGTGGTAGGCCTTCTGGTAAAGCAGCTGGGGGCGGATGTCGGCCATCGTGCTATAGATGCGATTGAGCTTGATGCTGATGATCTTCTTCGTGTCGGGGTGGATCAGGTGGACCGTCGGCGTCTTCTCTGGCACGGCGTTGTTGCTGCTGTAGTGGTGCTGCTGGTTGTAGTAGTAGTTGTTGTGCACCTGGCGGTGGAACTGGCCGTAGCCGCCGCCCTGCATGCCGCCTCGACCGCGTCCGCCGCGGTAACCCGTCGGGGCCCCGCCGCCTATGTACGGGTTCATGGAGTTGCTGTTGCCTTGCTGGTTGAAACCGAGATTACGGGGATACTGCTGCTGCTGCTGCCGCGGAGCTGACTGGGCGTACTGGTTGTTCGCAGCCTGCTGAGGGGGGTAGCTGTAGGGAAACATCTGCTGCTGCGGGACGTAGGGTTGGAAGGCCATCGAGTTCATCGCTGCTCCCTTGCTAGCGTTCCCGCTGGCATTCGGATACGAGAGGTACGACTGCTGCTGCTGCTGGTACCCGTTGTATTGCGATAGCATCTGCTGCTGCTGCTGCTGCGAACGCTGCTGCTGGTGTTGTGCCTGGTTGTTCTGGTACACCATCGGCTGGTTGCCGCTCATGGAAATGTCGCTGGGTGCCGTAAACATTTTCTTCACACACTAAGAAACGGTCGTTTAAGGTTCAAAGAGGGAGAGGGGGGGGGAGAAAACGTTTTGCGTGTTCCTTCCTTCGTCCTTGGTGTTTGTGTGTGTGTGTGTCTGTGCTACGAAATCGGCGCGACACAGTATAATTCGTTAAGGTAACCACTCCAATAATAATAATAATAGTAATAATAGTAAAAGAGACTAGGTGGAAATGTGTTGCCTCTCAATCAACGAGGGGGGGAGATAAGAAAGAAGAGGGGGAAAGTCGAGCTTCGTCGCTTCTTGCTGGTTTTACAATGGTGGGACAACAACGAAAACGATGAAATCAAAATGATGTTGTGACCTCTCTTCTCAGGGTTCTACTAACAAAAAGAAACAAGAAAAAGACTTCCAGAGAGGAAGCAAGACCACCACGAAACAACAAAAGAAGTAAAGAAAAAAACAAAACCAACGCAGGAAACGAAACGTGATGTGAGGCTGCTAAAATGAGAAAACAAGACGCGTGTGGAGCGACTTCGGTTACAATCGCGTTTACTTTTACTATCTTATTTTCCTACTCGTGCGTGCACTGTGGTTGCGTCTGTTAACCTGTTTGCGAGAAGAAAGATCTGCTGAAAACCAGAAACTTTCCGGCAACAAAAACCTGCTAAGAAAAGCCTTTTCCAAAAAAAAAAAACTTCGCTTCCGTCACTCTCTTTTTGAGGGAGTAAAGGGAAAAGTAAAGGTTTGAAAAGACAACGGACACCTTACGTGGATTAAAAAGGGGGTAAAACAGGTTGGAAGCGATTGAGCAGGACACACGGCGGACAGGCCTTTTTCTTTATAACGGTACTGGGGGGTGTATATATATATATATATGTTAAGAAAGCTTGCGTTTTAGGGGGAGAAAAGAATTAAGAGAGGCTGATCTTGTTATTTTTCGTCTTCTTTTTTAAACAAAGAAGCTACGTGAAGAGCTACGAAGAAACGTTTCCAATTGAGTGGTGATTTTTATTCCTTGTCCTCGAGAGGACAGATGTGCGTAATGATGACACGTTGAGAAGAGTCGCTGCTAGTGATAGAACGCAGCGGCGCGATTGACCGAAGAGTTGCCTGGAATCAAAAAGATTCTGCTTGTTTAACCGAGAAGAGTCAGGTGTTAAGGCAAATGAGGGTATGAATGTTTGCGTGTTGTGAGTAAGTTTGTGTGCGTGCGTGTGTGTTGAAGTTGCTCGAAAAGGAAAAGAGAAACAAAGTAAGGCGTGGAAGCAACACACAAGAGCAATACACAGGTCAACCACAATCAGTGACAAAAACCACTGACGCAGGCAAAACAAACAAGTCAGGGTATGATAACGGGGTTTTTTTAATTCGCTCTCTCTCTGTTCGCAACACGAAAGCGTTTGAGGAAATAAAAAAGGGTTAGTCCTCTTCTGTTGAAACACTAAATAACTATATATATATATCAAAACGAAGATAAGCGAAGGATTTCCTCTGCGTTTTGCAAAGTTTTTTTCTTTCTCTTTCTCCTTCTTTTTCTCTTGTTCTCTTTTCGGTTTTCTTTTTCTTTTTGTCTCTTTGCCTTTTTTTAGCCTTTCGAATATTTTCTTGTTCTCTCTTTAGAACTTCTATTTCAGCAACAAACAAAAAAGGGCTGAAAAAAAAACAGAAGCGAGCAAACAAATTCTCGCAATTAAGAAGCAGGAAGACACGCAAAAACCAAAGAGATGGATGTTAAAGCCTACAATACAACCCAAAAGCGGGGGACCGCCAAAGAGGGCAGCGCTTCGAGGAGGAGAATCGAAAGAGGGTAGACTGGAGAGAAGAAAGAAAAAAGATACTAAAACGAAAAGCGAAAAAGTTTGTCAAGGTAATAAAAGAAAAGGAAAGAGGGGAAAGAGAATAAAGAAGGGGTGCGTCAAGGTTAGGGGCAGAAGAAACAAGGGGGAAAGACGCGGACACTGTAAAAAGAGGGGGAAAAAGATGTTATGCTTAGAAGGAAGTAAAGAACAGATGCAATCTTACCGTTCCTCAAGTGTGTGAGTGTGTGTGTAGGGGGAGGGAGGTAACGTGTTGGGAGTAGCTTAGGGCGAGATCGCTGGGAGTACAAGCTAGTGCGGTGTTTTCTATCAGTGGCGGTGGTTTCGTGGATCACGTGGAAAGACTTGTTTGTTAAGAAAGAAAGAAAAGCAGCAATTGAGAAAAAAGAGGAGGAGGAGCGATGGAGAGAAATCCGCGAAGATGAAAATTTGAGATGAAGTTGTAATGTGTCGTTTTCAATTTTGGACTCGCGCCCTTCCGTACATCGTACATGACCCGACAAGAAATCGCAGGAGACTCATGAACGTGAATGGACGCCGAATCGATGAAGGCGGCCAAACTGATCTGCCACACGAGGATGCACGTGTGTGTGCGTGTGTGTTATGGTTTTTTGAGCTACAAAGTTCTCCGACACGCCTTTCATTATCATCACTATTATTCTTACGTTGGCGTCGTCATGAGATCTGATCTCTCTCCGCGGAAACGTTGATCTGGGGCGAGAAGCAGAAAACAAAAAGATGCTCTTCAGCTGCTTTTTGATATATGTCTTTTTACCGCTGCTCTGCAACTTTGTCCTCGGGGTTTTTGCTATCTTTTCTTTTCGTGTGTGTGTGTCTGTGTTTATAAAGGCAACTGCGACTATTAAACTCCATTCAGCATCGCTCGTTTAACGAGCAACTCGAATCTGCTCTCCACAACCTTTTGCACCTTGCACCTCGCACCTCCTCCTCACTCCTTTTATTATGTTGTGAGGGGGCTGCTGCGTGCGTGCGTGTGTGTATACGCACACTTCTCCTTGGCGGTGTGTAAACGTGTAAAAGAAAAAAATAAAAAGGGGGAAGAAAGAGACGAGGAAGAGACCAGAAAACAACACCACCAGCAACACCAGCAACAACAAGAGACAAAAACAGAAGAGAAGGTCCGCTGCAGAAGAAGAGCGGGTGATGATAAAACAGAAAAGATATTAATAATAATAATATTTCGCTTAGATTTCGACCAATTTGCGACTTTGCGCTACCTTGGTGTTGTATAGAAGAAAAAAGGGGGAAAAAGTACGAGGGAAAAACGACAGAGTATTGGTATCGAAAGATGACAAACGAGAAAATAATAATTTAAAAAGAAAAAATACGAAACGGCGCATCCGAAACGCGTTTAAACCTGCAGTTAAATGCGAATGGAAGCGGCGACATGAGAGACCTTGTTTTTTTTTTTTGCTGCTGCTGCTGTTGTTGTTAAAGAAGGCAAATACATCAATATATACGATCGTGGAAAAGGAAAGAAAGCTGCGAGTGCGCCTCTTCCTGGTTAAAGGGGGGGGGGAGCTTTTGCCGCTAGAAGGAGACGGCTGGAAAGAAGGAAAATCAACGGATGAATCAAAACAAAAATGACAAACGGCAGCGGAAAACCGAAAAGAGAGGAGGCACGAGTGAGGAAAAGCAGAAGGCAAACAAAGAACTCCCCACATCCGTTGCATCGGCGGGAGTGCGCGAGCTCGCCTGGACAAAGCTTCTCCGTACGTCTGCTCCCGGACCACTAATGGAAAATGCCAAGATAGAAAGGTCAAGAAAAAGAAAACTCTCTCGTCAGGTCGCGCCTTTTGATAGCACAGACTTGCATGACCCTCGCTCGCATCACGCAAGCCCTGCGTCGCAAAAGCCGTTGGAGAGACAAACGCCAAGAACAAAAAGCCATCAGTCTCCCTTTACTAAAAGGCAGAGAACAAAAAGCCTCTACAGAAAGACGCGGCCGACCTGAGTGGATCCATTCGGAAGACGTTCGGCAAACAACACAAAGAAAGAGGTCTTCCTTCCCAGCTCTGTGCTTGCGTATTCGTCGTACGAAACCACCGATCCCAAAGGTAAGATAAGAAGAATATACATGTTTATGATGATGGTCTGACGTGCTTCCTCACCAGCGCACTGATCCTTTCAATCATTCACAGAATGAAGCAAAACACACATGGAAAATAAAAGACATCATCTGAACCTTTCCCTCACTGGGCTGCGGAGTTATCAACAATAAAAGAAGAAAGAAGAGAGCTTTTTTAAACAGAATTAAGAAGATAAAAGATACAATCGTAGAGGCCCTACGCAAAACCCGATCCACATAATCGCAAACCAAAAACAAATAACGCAAACAGAAGACTACTAAAATGGTTCTTTTTAAAATATATAAATATAAAGACAACAGCGCTGAGAGCGATGTCAGGGCATCGTGTTTTGTGAGCGTGCGTTCTTTATTTTTCTTTTTTTCGCGGCAAAGAGACAGAGAGACCAAACCAAAAGGTAAGGGGAGTTCGTGAGGATAGGGACGACAAGGCCTTTTCTTCCAACATCGCCCAAAAGGGCTCGCCGCAACCCAGCGGTAAAGGGTATACAACGCCTATTCGTGCGCACAGAGAGAGTATAGAGAACGTCCGCAAAGGAAGAGACAAGGAAAACAAAATGGAATCCCCGCTGCAAAAGACAAGAATCTACTTGAAGGCAAAAAAAAAACACGTCAGGAGCACGGATGGGAATGGTAAGCGCACCAGTGTATAAACGTGTACACCGTTCGCACAATTGAAAACAATGGAAGAGTCCTTTTTCTTTTCGTAGGAGCAACCCGCAAGCAAGCCACGGTTCTGTGAGAGAAAACAAATATATAGGAAAGAAGAGTATGCACCTCAACATCTCGGTTGTGCCAGGACCACGGCAAACACACACGGTGAGTGCATTTTACCACACACACACATGCACACACAACAGTAATGATACTAATAAGAGGATAGCACGAGACGCAAACAGAAAAACAAAAACCAGTTACAGTGCAGATGTTCTCTACTGTACATCATGGCACGAATCAAAAGGAGAGAAAGCACAAGAGCGGAAGACGCCGCGCAGGGGAAAAAATAAATAATGATAACAATGATAACAATGATAACAATAATAAGATGCAACGAGTTGGGGGAAGGGGAATACGACGACAAACGGAAAGGAAAGAAAAGCAAAAAAAAAAAAACTGTGCATGTGAAATGGTAAACGAGACGGAGAACGAAAAAAAAAAAGAAGGGACACACAGTGCTTGCACCACACACACACACACAAACTTGCAAAAGAAAAAAACATTAAATGAAAAACAGGAAGATAGAGAAGATGAAAAACATAAAAACGGTGTTTCGTGGTGATGTGTGTGTTATTAGAAATATTTTAACGGTATTAATCATGATGTTCCCTCCAAATCAAAAGGGAAAACAAAAGAAAACAAAAATAGGGAATAAGAGAAGCAGCACTTTAGGATTGACGTGTCTCTGGTGCTGCTCAGTGTTTGGGTGTGTTAAGCATCCCTTCGATGCTGGGGTTGTGAAATGGTGAACTCATAAAGCAAAGAAAGAAGAACAGCAGGGCATAACTAACAGAAAAATATAGGGAAACGAAGAAAGAGATGTGTATGCGCCTCAACTACGCTCTTTTTGACCAGTCTATTTATGATAGTGTAGTACTGCGAACAGTTCTTGTTTCTTTGTTTTTCTCTACTCCTCGTGAAGCCGTACAACAAGAAAAACTGCAACGTCGATGAACAGCAACAGCGCTTGGTGCGTGATACCTGGCATCTGTATACAGCGTGTTTCCTGTTTCTTTTTAACGGCACCTCGACAAAGGTGCAGTACAAAAGTAGACACAAAGAGAAAAGAGAAGAAAAAACCAGAGTTCAATTTAAAAGTGCAGCTCGGGGCAGAGGTGACGTTCGACGCCCGTGCGAAGGCGAGGCATAGAAACGAAAAGCGTGAAACACAGATGGGAGAAAAAAAAACATGATGAACAGGAAAATGTAAGAAGGAAGTAGCACGTTAGGTCTTACCCCTCCATTACACGCTGGTTTTTGTGTACTTCAAACCCCCTCCTCCCTCCTTCACTCGTTTCTCTGGACCACAGCAGGTCGGCGGCTGCATTTGAGCAGCTCAGTCACAACGACGATGGGACAAAGAAGTTTCATGTGGCGAAGAAGCGAAGAGTAATAGCTGCAGCAGAAGAAAGAAAAGAACTGCACAGCAGCAATTTTTCTTCCTTTTTTCCTTTTGTAAGAGACGAGACAGGATGGGTAGAGTAGTCGCAAGTGTGAAGACTTACGGAAATTCATGCAAACAGATATATATTTATATAATAACGAAAGAGCGTGAACCGCGTTGCGTGTGTCCTGCGACGACACACTTTCGAGATGAGAAACAAAAATTGGCAAGCCAAAAAAAAAAGAACGCAAAGAGGGGAACAACGCAGGTACGTTTAACGGTTTATGCTTTAGGTTTTTCCAGCTCCAATAAAAAAGAAGTGCTGGTGAAGGGAAAAGATCAACGTCCTCGAAACGAAGTCGGGAGAAAACAAACAACAACAAAAAAAAAAGATAATGTATTGATAAATGAGAATCGTCAGCACAAATGCGTAAATATATTCTTTTAAATATAAGTACATCTCGAGTGAGGACGAGAGAAAAGGAGAAAAAAAAGAGAGACAAAGAACTTTGCCGCGAGCGTCGTTGCACTGCGGCAACACACTGTAGGCGCAGTGATCTTTCCGTTGAGGTGTTGCATGATGCATTAACCCGGCAACATTTTTTTTTTACGCAGATGACCTTGAACTTCCTCATTTTTCTTCTTTTCTGAAGACGGAGGAGATGCATTGCGAGTGCGAAAAGGGCTTATAGGTTGTGAATCTCACTCTAGCGTCGTCATCGAACAACAGTCAGTCATTTTATTTTTCTCTGTTTGTTTTTGCTGCGCAGAAGTCGAAGTGTGAAACGCTGGAGTGAATTGCACGCGAGCAGCCCGCGAGCACCCGCTCTGGGAGAATACTCTCTCTTTGTCTCAGCCCCCGCTAGTTAAGTGTGTTGGTGCTGGGCGACAGCGCGTACGGGTTATTGCGGCGCACCGGCGAGATGCGGCCCTGCGTCTGCTGCGTAGGCGAGCCCGTCATCATGCCCGAGGAAGGCGACACCGGGGAAAGACGCTGCGCAGGAGCCGCACCGGTCGGCCCCGTGGCCACCATGACGCGGTACGGTGACACGCGTCCGCTCGCGCGGTACTGGACCGGCGACATCCGACCCGTCGCGGCCGTCGCCACCGGACCGACATAGGGGGAATTGCTGTAGATGGGCGATCCCGTCTGCTGCTGCAGCGGCAGCGGCGCCGGCTGCTGTCCCTGCTGCGCCGGCGGCGGGATGGCCGTAGTGGGGGAGGGCCCTTTGCCGTAGCCTGGGTAGGAGGCGTTGCCCTGCGAGCTGCCCAGCGTGACGTTGTCACCGGGGCTGCCGATGAAGGCGCCGTCGTTCGCCATGGCCAGGGCGGCCATCTCGCGCGCTTTGTTCATCGCGCACTCCTCGGCCCCCATCTCGCGCCCGGCCGTCGGGCTCGGCGTTGTGTGCGTTGTGCCGTCGTCCTCCGGTGCCGGGCTGGCCAGCGCGACGGAGACGACGTGCAGGAAGCGACAGCCGTCGCCCATACGGCACAGCTTCTTCGTTTGGAAGTGCGCGCAGTGCTGCATCTTCAGCGAGGGCACGCCGCCGGCCTGACGGGAGGCCTCCTCGTACTGCGTCGCGCCGGCCGTGCGCAGGACATCGCTGCCCATGAAGTCCACCCCGTCCCCGGGCGTGTTCGGCTGATACACGCGTACCACCAAATCGCCCGGCATGCGCTCGTAGTCTGTCAGGGCCGCGGCGGTGGCGCGGTGGGTGGCGATGTGCGGGAACTGTGAGAGGTCCCGCACGGCGCAGTGGATATCGTCGCACGTCTCGTTCTTGTCGCACTTACCCTGCGCCTGCAGGCTCGGACAGAGGCGGCACTTGTCCTTGAAGTTGTCGCCGTTGTCGTTGAAGAGCTCCACGTAGCGGTCGCTGCCGCGGGTTTGGTAGATGTACTCGCTGGGGATGTCGTAGTAGATGTCCATGTCTGGCGTGTAGCAGCGGATGTTGAAGCCTGGGAAGTAGAAGTACGAGTCGGGGTCCACCTGCGGGTCCAGCTGATGCCACAAGTACTGCTTCGGCACGTGGACGAACTGACAGCCGTTGCCTGCCTCGCAGTGGCCCTTCAGAAAGCTCTCGCACAGCTGCGCGTCGTGATCCGGCTTCGCTTTCGTGCGCTGCACCCGGTTCAGTTTCGTGCACATCAAATCGCCGGTGGAGGGCTGGATGAAGCGGACGGTGGTGATACGCTCCTGGTAGGAGCGACGCCCGTTGGGGCTGCGCCGGCCCTCGGAGGCGGAGACGGGGCTCTGGCGGGAGCCGACCTCGCCCGAGGTGGACGCGCTCCAGTTGCGGTGCTGCGGTTGGTTAGATGGCATGGTGGATGAGAAAAGTCCTTGCAGACGACTCGAGAGGGAGGGAGAGAGAGGGTGTGTAAGAGAGAAGAGGAGCAACACTGTTGGCGACACGATTATCACTAGTTTAGCAAAAAGAAACACGAGGAAAAAAGAAAGAAGAAGAACAGGAAGAAGGCGCTGATGATTGTGTAACTTAAAAAAGAATCAAAAAAATGGCAAAGTTGTTCTGCACAAATGAGGGAAGAGGCTCTCTGAAAACAACCAAAAAAAAAGGAGCTGCTTTCAATGCACGCTGATGCACGTGGAGGGCGGCAGCGGCAGCGGTGATGAGTCACGATTCCTTTGGAGAGTGTATTCCCTTGGCGTGTCCCCTTATTCCTCGACTGGGCAGGGGGAATATAGAAAAAAACTTTTCCTAAATGTAAAAAATAAAAAATAAAAAATAGTGAGGAAAGAAAGATCAAGAAAATAAATAGCAAACGGGATCTTGGCGGGAGTGTGTAGAGGGTGACGTCAAGCTGTTGCCTTGGGGTGCGTGGTTGGTCGAAAGCAGACCCAACGGGGTTGTATAGAAGGGACACACCTGAAGAAAGACCGGCTGATGAGAGGAGAGGAGGAAGAAAAAGAAAAACAGCGAATTAGGTACCCGTGTGAAAAGAGAAGGGAAGAAAAAAACCAAAGAAAGGAGCACGGGAAGCAGCAAGGGAGAACGAGAAACCAAAGATAGTTCAGGTTATAGGAACTACAGTTTTATCTCCGTCTTTTAACACTTCGCTTGACACGTGAGTTGGGCGAAAGAGATGCGACGCGACGTCGAAACAAACCCAGGGCGAGCCGAAGGGGGGAGAAGAAAAAAGTCAAAGAAATATGAAAGAGAAGCAACCGTATTCTCTATAGGGAATTTAATAGGTGATAGGATGAAGAATAGTACTTACGTCAATGTTTTCCAAGATGTTTGTGAGCTATTAGACACGCGGTGAAGAAGAAGGACAGAAAGAGACGCCGTGGCGATGTCTTTCGGTGCTTCTATTTTTCTTTTCTTTTCCTTTTTGCTTTTGCCAGCCACACGATTGCGTTTCGCAGAGAAAGCCTGTGCCAAAGGAGAGCAGACGTGGCTCTTTGTGTTTTGCTGCGGGTGTTGTCGCTGTCAGCTAAAATAGAAAACACAACTGAAAGAGGATATATATGTGTGCAGCTTCTTGCTGCTGTGCGGAAGAAGAAATAAAGAAATAAAGCAATTTCCAATATAATTGAAAAAGAAAAGGGAGTGGGGAGGGAAGAAGAAGAAAAAAAGAAAAAGCAGACTTGCAAAGCTGAGTATGTGAAAGAAGAGCGTGAGAAGATGGCGAAGGAAGAAGAAACCAGAGCGATTCAACATCTGCACGTATTTGAATGTGCAGAGGCGTGGGGCGGGGTGGATGCAATACGAATAGTGCCCGCGTGTGTGCGTTGAAGTGTCCAACAACACCGTATGATGCCAGGTATAGAGACACGTGGAACGAAAATGCGAGAACAAAAGATGCCGGTACGAGGAGAAACGATATTGACCCAGAAGGTTCTGTTGATCATCGGACTATCTTTTTTTTTTTGAGCGGAGAGGCGCACTCCTCACTCATTGCGAAAACTCGGCGTCGCGTACGTTAGCCAGATAGCAACGCACCGGTGTTTCGACGCGGAGCCAGCACCTTTTTAACATGAAACCTACCCCAGTGCAGCTTCTCTCTCACAAACACTTGAGCTGAGACGCACATAACGCCGAGCCAAGCCTCCCACACGGAACCAAGCAGACCGTATCGGGTAAGGAGAGAGAGCATAGCACGACGGGAGCAGACTGGCCACATCGGCAGCTTTGGGCGAGAAGGTGCGTTGACAGTCACAGACAAAAACAAAACGGCGCTGGCTACTCACTTGGTTTTTCTCTTTGCGTCTCAACGTTTGCTTCGACTATAAGTGTCTAGAAAAAAAAGGGTAGCAAAAAATATATAAATAAAAAAAATACGGCAATCAACTTCGGGCAGTCACAGCGTCAGTACACAAAATGAGTAAACATGAAAATGATCCTCTATAGTTGCACGGCGAGTAAAGATGTGTTGTCAGCGCAGGCAACGCCGGCGTCAGAATGTGTACGTGCGTCATCCAACAAAGTCTTTTTGCGACAGTGCCTGCTCTAGACGATCCGAAGCATTCTTTGCTCTCACATAGCGCTTCACATAATATTCTACTACCTGTACAGACCCCACTCGCTCGTCAACGTTGTGAAGGTTGGCAAGCGCAAACATGGAATTTGATGTCAGTCCTTGGAGGGCCACCACCTGTTTGGAATATGATAAAAGAAGAACAGCGGTATCTCTGTGCGTGTGTGTGTGTGCGGTGAAGAGAAAAAGGAACGTGGTAGCACCGTCCTCTGCGCGATGGGTGCACACGCGTAGTCCGTTTTTGCGTTGGAACCTTGAAATACATGCAAGTATCTGAAACGGAGAAGTATCGCCCTCACGCCATGTACACGTTGCGAATATACATATGCATATATATAGAGAGAGAGATGGAAATATAGGGAGACATTGATATACACCACGATAAGGTGGGAGACGGAGGTGAACAACGAAAACAAAATGTCGAAAAACAACTTTGAAGACGGGCAATGGCAATGGAAAAACGGAAACACAAAGATGAAGAAAAAGTCTCACCATCTCAAAAAAAGCGCCGTTGCGTCGGCACACAAACGTCAAAGCCAGGCGAGGCTAAATAGTGGAAGAGCGAGCGGAAGAAAGAGAACAAACACAGCAACAACAACGCCAGCACGCCCGAACAATCACGTCGACCTCACGTCCACCAACGCGAGTTTAAAGGACAAGAACAACGTTGGAAAGATGTCTAGAAGGGAAAGACAAGAGAGAGAAAAAAAAAAACATTAGTCCATACAAAAAAGAAGGGACCGTGCATACGTGGATGAAGAACGCTGCTTCACCGCTGCAACAGTGCCAGAAAGCTACGAAGCGGAGGAAGGCACTCCAGAGGGCTAAACGTGACGGAGATGTAGGCGCGTGAAAATACAAAAAAAACAAAGAGGAGCATCATTGTCAAACATCAGGAGAGAAAAAAAAAGAAAAAAAAAGACAGGCCAACTGGCAGAAACACACCCAGAAACGATGACGAGTAGGCGGCCTCATGAGACTCGAAGCACAGAAAAAGGCATTTGTAGACCAACAAAAAAGAACAAAAGCGGATGAACATGAAATCGCAAAAGCCGCTCGCAAAGGAAAGGGAAGAAAAAAAAGGAGGGACACAAATCAGCCAACACAATTCGCCGAAGAGACTATAGCAACGAAGCAAAACTCGCGAAGAGTTGTTAATGAATATATCTACGTACGGGAGACACCGGCACAGATAGAGAGAGGAGGCGTAACGCTGTTAAACATAGAAGATAAAGGAACAGCGAGTGCGAACAAACACTCCAAAAAAAAACGTTGAAATCTGAAATCGTCATTGCATCCTTTCGTACGCAGTAACTAGAAAGAGTCACTTTATGCTCTGTCGTTGTTGATGATCTCCTCTCTACTTACGCGCTGCCACATCCCGCGTACCGAGACGACTGCCCGTCCCAGAAACGTCGGAGCGCGGCACCTGGCGCACGTGAGCCTTTGTCGCAGTCGGCTCCGCTGTTGCGCCCGTCGATGTCGCCTTCACGCGATTCGCCGCTAGTCGCGAGGCTGCAGCGTTGCTGTTCGCCGTCGAGCGCGAAGCCAAAGAACTACCAGTCGGGCGAGTGGCACCACCACTGCTGGGGCCCGTGCCATGCGTGGCTGTAGTGCCCGTTGCCACCGGCCGTGACACGCGCAGTTTGTCGGCGCGACGCAGCGCGGCGATTTGCTCGTAAATTGCATCGCGGTAGCGGTCCAGCGGCAGCCGCTCGTTGTCCGGCAGCGAGATGGTAATCGGCTCCGGCGCCACCGGCTCCTCGTCTGGTCGGTGGAAGGCGGCCACGTACGGGTGCTCCAGCGCCTCGGCCGCGGTGATGCGCCGGTTCGGGTTGAAGCACATTAAACGCTGGATGAGGTCAAGAGCGTCGGCGGACGCGTTCGGCAGCAACTCTGCAAACGTCCGCGGGTGCGAGCTGGAGATGTCGCGCAGCATCGCCTGGGCAAACTGCGAGTTGGTCGCTGCGATGTCCGCCGCGGAGGGACGGCCGGTGACGCTGATGATAATTTCCAGCTGATTCGTGGTGGACCGGCCTGGAAAAATGGGCTTGCCAAGCATCAGCTCCCCCAGTATGCACCCGACGGACCACATGTCCACCCCCTTCGTGTATCGCGTGGAGCCGAGCAGAACCTCTGGTGGTCGGTACCACCGCGTTGCGATGTAGTCCGTCAGCACCGGACGCGACGCCTGCTCGCTCTCGAGAGAGAGGATGGAACGGGCCAGGCCGAAGTCTGCCACCTTCATAGTGCAGTCACTGTTCACCAGCAAGTTGCTCGGCTTCATGTCGCGGTGTAGAATCTCAGCCGAGTGCAGGTACTTCATCGTCTTCAGTAGCTGATAAATTATGAACTGCTTGTGGATGTCCTCCAGAATGTTGGCGCGGATCACGACGTGCAGATCCGTCTCCATGTACTCAAACACGAGGTAGATGTCACGGTCATTATAGGCGCGGTGGACGTGCAACAGCTTGATGATGTTTGGGTGGTGTAGGCGGTGCAGGAACATAATTTCTCGAAAGGTGCGCTGCGCATCGGTGGAATTCTGGAAGGCGTCGTAAATCTTCTTTAACGCGACGATGCGGTTGTGCTTGCGCTCGACGGCGCGCCACACGATTCCGTACGCGCCTTGGCCCAGCTGCGTCTGTATTTCATACTTCTTGAGAATGTGCGACTCGATTTCGGTGGACATCGCTCCGGAATACCCCAACGAGGGCGAAAGATGCCCAGCTTCCCGAGGTGCGAGGCTGTCGTGGTTGCTGCTTTTGATTCCTCTAGCGCCTGTCTTGTTATTCCCCGCGCAGCTTTGCAGAGGACTGCCCTTCTTTTCTCCCCTCTCCTTTTCTGGAGGTTGAACGTCCAAAATCTATATGGCACAGTTGCTAGCCTGGAGTACCGCGCAATCAGAGTTGATCTCTCAAAGCAACACAGCTATTAATTATTTCTTTATGATATCAATAAAAATGAGCAGGAGAGATGGCAGCAGAACGAGAAAGGAGAGAAGAAAGGGCCACTGTAAGAAAGAGAAAGAAAGCGGTTGGGTTACTTCTAGATTATTACCGGCGCGGTCGTGCGAGCAGTGACAGTACAAGTATGATGCGCTGCAGACACGTGCAACGCAGATGTGGATGTGGATGCTTGTGGGGAAGGGTGAACACACAACGAAAGCGTACGCGTGAAAAGGCACGTGTGACAGCTTTTTGACGACGAGTGCGAAAACAAAAAAATGAACACAGATGGAGAGAGGAGGGAGAGAGGGTAGACGAGAACCCCGAAGCGGTGTAGAACGAATGTACAGGCGTGCGACGCGGCATGGGAGTGACAGCAGCGTACAAGAGAGTTTCAAAACAAAAAAAACTCGGTCGTTTTCTTGATCTCTTTATCAACCGAAAGAAAGAAAGAGAGAACCGCTACAAAGGACGGCCACTGCACACAAAATCCGACTTGCCAGCTGCCCTCCAATAATTCTCAGCGTTGATCAGTTGCTTCATTTCTTTCCGTTTTCCCCGCTGCCCAGCATCATGCTTGTTCCTCCAGCTATTTCTCTTCGTCTACGGATGGGCAGCGCTGACGCTTCGCTGATGAAGTGATGGAAGCAGTAAAGGGGAAAAAAAGCGGCTGAGACTACGTACTACCTTTCCCTTACTTGCTTTCGCGGGTTTTCAAAGGTGCTGGAGTAGCGAAACTGGAAGCAAAACAAAGAAAATAGAAGCCCTACGTCATCAAAGCATTGAGAACACGTCATCAATAGAAAAAGACAAAACACATGAATATATATATATATATATATATATATATATATATATCTAGAC